AACAAAAAACAACTAAACAAAACAAAAATTGTATAAAAGAGAAAACTACACCATGATGGGGGCTCAGCCTTTTGGCTATTAACTCATTGAGCCCTGCACTGGCATGAATAAAGTTGCTTCCTGGAAAGAAAAGCCTCAGTGTCCTGTCTCTCTACATAAGAATCCTGCTACATTTCCTGTTCAAAAGATGTAAGTTGAGATAAAATAGGATTAAGCATGAACATGTTTTAATGTTCACAAATAGAAAATCTGTTTCATAAGCATACTTTTGGTTGAAAGAAGCTAGACCCTAAGGAATGCCTGTCCCTCCCCAAGGCAGTGATTTAGGGCCAGATAATACATTTGTATTTATCTATTGATGCCCGACAGGTTTAATGGCTTGAAACTGTACACATTTGTCTCATAATTTCTTTGAATTAGGAATCCAGGCATGGTTTGGGTAGTAGGTTATCTGCTCAGGATTTTACTTGATTGTAGTCAAAACACTGGTTGGTCTGGTCTCACATAGCTTAACTGGGAAAGCTTACAAACGGAGAAATCTTTCTGTGTACACTCAGATCATGGGCAAAATTCATTTCCTTGCATCCACAGACTTTGTTGCTGTCTCCTAGAGGTTAACCTTAGCTTTTCGAAGCTACTGCAGTTCTTGCCACATTGCCCCTTCATTATATGAAGGGGTATCAGTACAGGAGTATCAGTACCTGTGTCAAAATTTGCAGTTTTAGAACTCGGCATGGTAATGCGCACCTGTAATCTCAGCACTCAGGAGGTTGAGACGGGAGAATTCAAGGCCAGCTGGGCCTTCCTAGTGAGTTCAAGGCAAGTCTCAAAACAAACCAATTTTTATTTTGGGGGCTATAAAGTGTAAAAACTCTTGGTATTGTGTATAATCAAGAGGAAGCAGGGGTTGTGGGCTGGTGGAGAAGGCAGGAGGAGGAGGGTAGTAGAATTTGTTTGTTTGTTTGTGAGTAGATGGTCTTCCTACGGTGTAAAGGGATTTATTTGTATGAGAGAGGTGCTTCCTAGGGAAAGCAGTAATCTCCATTAATTTTAGTGACCTATACCAGATTTTCCTTTAGGTGTGGAGGTGTGCATTTGTACAGAATAAGTAATATACCAGGCTTGTGACCTAAGCAGAAAGTGGGTTCAGGAGGAAAAGCAAAATAATTCTGTGTCTGTTTTGTGTCTGACAGTCCATGGTATTGATGTGTAGAGGTCTAAGTGTGATGCAAGAAGTCATTTTCTTTTCTTTTTTGCTACCGGGGATCAAACACAGGACCTTGCCTCTGCAAGGCAGGCAGTGGAACCACTGAACTAAATCCCTGGCAGGATACTGTTTTCAACAGCAGGTTTCTGAGTTGGGGCTTTGTTGTCTGAGGTGATGCCATATTCAGTGGTGATATTTTGAGCCAGGATCGAGTCACCTGATGTATGAGATTGGGGTATCCTTGTGAAGCAGGTACCCACTATAGTAAATGTGGCTTTCTGAGTTGTAAACTAAACTAGTACAGCACCTGAGCCAATAGTAGTAACACCAACAGTAACAGGGTGATGTTTAGCTGTACTTGAGAGAAGTTTTTGTTTGTGTTTTTATTTTGTTTTGCGGGGAGGAAGCTGAAGTGTCTGTAACTCTGGAGGGACTCAAGATTGATCTGGCAAATCCTTTCTTTGTGGCCTAAGTACATTTTGTTTATTTTTCAGGTGAGAGATTCCCAGAGGGTTTTTTTTTTGTTAAACTTTGAGTGAGATGGTTTTAAAGTAATGGTTCAGTAACTTAATAAATGCCAAGAGGAGAGCATTTGTTGACCTGGGCTCATAGTGCTAAGATGCCTGCTGATGTTTGGCCACATGTATTGTTTCTTGGGTACTCCTATTTTTTTTTTTTTTAGGCAGGGTCTCACTATGTAGTTGAGACTGACCTGGGACTCACTATGTAGCCCAGGCTGGTGTTGAACTCACAGTGATCCTCCTGCCTCAGCCTCCCGAGTGCTGGGATTACAGGCGTGCGCCACCACGCCCGGCCAAGTGCTCCTATCTTGTACTAGGGACATCATAGCTGGAAAGCAGCTACTGTTCACTATGCTTCATCACATAATCTAGGAATTCCCATGGTGGTTCATTTAGTTAATGCCAAAGGGCTTTCCAGGTAGTCAAAGTCAAGGTGCCCACAGGGGGCTTATAGTTTCTCTGTCACTTTGGTATCTGGCAAGAGAGTAAGGACAAGGGTGTCATTGTCTCCTGCAGGTGGAATATAGCCAGGGATCCCTATTTGGCTCAGTGCTGGAGCCTCAGTGTCATGCAAAGTGTGGGGTTGATATTTTCTTGGCCCAGAGTGTAGTGGGCAGCTGGGCATGGGAGGTCACAGACTATGTGTCCTTGAGAACCTCTGCAACTAATGGCCACATGAATGGCTTAGAGCCTCCAGGAATATTAAGAATGATTTCCAGAGCCTCTACCTCAAAAGATGAGTTTTTTTGTTTTTTGTTTTTTTACTTTTTGAAGGTATTAACAGGACGATTTGTTGGTTTTAGTTTGGATGTAAAATTTGTAAATGCAGAGTCTGAAAGTATCGGATGATATTGGAGTTAGATGTCTGTCCTTCATTAGTATTGTCAACTGAATCTTCTTGGAGAAGCATGTTAAAATGTAGTGTCACATCTGTGTTCCTATAGAAAGTGGCTGTTATTAAGATCTTTTTAAAAATGTATGTTGACAGATATGTTGGGTAGCTGGAAAAAGAATATTATGTCTCTTTGGAGGTAAAGCAGACTGCAGCTGAGAAGCTGTTGAAATAGGCACTCAACAGTCATGATGGTGAACACCTATAATCCCAGAATTCAGGAGGCTGAGGCAGGAGGGTCACTGTGAGTTCAAGACCAGCTTGGGCTGCATAGTGACTTTCAGGCCAGCCTGAACTATATAGTGAAACCCTGTCTCAAAAAATAAAAACAGCAAAAAAGAAATAGGCACTGAACACAGCACATTAAACATATTTACAAATGCACAATATTTACTCAGTGTTGGATGGCTAGAACCTGTAAATTCAGTAATATGGGTTACGGGGGCCTTGATGGATTGAATCACCACATTAAGGTTGTAGGAATCCATAACGAAGTACTTTCATTTTCAGATTCAAAAACAGACACAATTAGGCTGTCAAATGTGAAACAATATAGTCATCCCTTGATGAACTAGATTTTATGTGTTTCAATACCTGAGGTCCTATTTCAATATATATTGGGGTTTCTCAACTATTTTAATTGGGGGTCCATATTGTCAAGCCAGTGTGTTAAAGTCTTACTTAATATTCATTATTGCTTCTCTCTCTCTCTCTTTCTTTTGTGTGTTGTGTTGTGTATGTGTTTTGGTACTGGGGATTGAACCCAGGATCATCTCACTGAGCTATATTTCTAGCTGTTGGTTTTTTGGATTGTTTTGAGATGGTCTTGCTATGTCAGTAAATTTGCCTAGTCTGAACTTGAACGAGGATTATCCTGCCTCGGTCTTCCTGTGTGCTAGAGTTATAGGCATGTGCCGCTATGCCTGATTTATTTTGTTATTTCTTATGTCAAAGTGTTAAAGCCCAATATATATATATAATGTTTAGTTGTTTAAGATTTTAGGGGGCACAATATTTAAATTTAATGGTATTCACAGGTATAGATATATTTTGAGCCTAAATATATATGATTTGACCCCAGTATTGACCATGCTGATGGTATTCGAGTCTATAATTGGCCCATTTTAGCAAATGTTAAGTTAAAGTCTAGTTATCTTTTAGTCCACGTCTGATGATTTGTTTTCAAACCCATAAGTCCGGGCATGGTGCCGCACGCCTGTCATCCCAGCACTCTGGAGGCTGAGGCAGGAGGATCGCTGTGAGTTCAAGACCAGCCTGGGCTACATAGTGACTTCTAGGTCAGTCTCAACTACATAGTGAGAACCTGTCTCAAAACAAACAAACAAACTGGTAAGTAATCTGTATGGAGCAGCACTGTATTGCATAATTCGTGGTTGCTCAGTACTTACGTAAAGCTTTAAATTTCTTTCTTCCTTGGACTGGTAGCTCCCTAAAGCTGAAAGTCTGCCACCCTTTCTTCCTTTCCTTTTCCTTGCCCCCTTGCTCCCTCCCTTCATTCTTTTTTTGACTTAGACTTTTAGCTTCTTGAGGTGGTAGTGTTTTCAGCTTCTGTCCAGTTGATAAAAATTAAGAAGTAGAGTGAGGGACGGTCCTTTCTCTTTGGAATATTCAGACCCGTTTTCCCCTACCCTTCCCACTTTCCCTACACCTTTAGCTCTTTTCTTCCTATCTCACATTATTAATTATCTCATTAGGATCTTGTGTACTATTATAGTTTGTTCACACCAGAGAAACTATTCGGTATGTACTCATGTGTGACTTATTTATTTCACTTAAGAGTATATTGATATGTATCCATTTTCCTATGAATGACTCTAATTTCTGCGTTTCAGCGTTTCTTTACAGGGACTGTGTGGAGGCTTATCAGTGCTTGAAATGTATCATGACTCGTTTGTAAAACATGATATTTTGGTTCTAATGCTTTGTAATAAAAGTAAAATATCACATGTTAAGTGAACCAGATGTCAAATTTCCAGAATCTTCTACATAGTGGCATGTCGGGGAGTATCAACTACCACAGAAGGTCAGATTTTCAGGACTAAGTTACCATCAAGTCCTGGTTCATCTCTTCCTAACTAGATGATACTGGAGCAGTCACTTGTATTTTTTGAATCTAGGCTTTTAGGCTTTAAATAATGATAACGTCAGCCCTTTGAGACTTGTTAGGATAATACATCTCCTTGTGAAACTTCTAACATTCAGGAGTCTTTAGTAAGTGGCAGTTGGTATAGATACTGCTTTATTATGGAGTATATGATTTTTTAGTGACTTTTTACATGCATCACCAGCAAAGAGAGAGAAAAAGTAATGCTTGATGATTAGTAAGTAATGCTTATTAATGAATGATCAATGTCTACAGGAATGCAGATACCCTTATACAGAGAGGAACAGAGATTGTCACTGTTCACTTGGTTGCCTGAGCTGTCCTGACGTGTCACAGAAGAGAGTGTTCAGTCATGTTTCACCGTCAGTCTTATGGGATGGAAGCCATTGATTGGTCCCAGGGTAAGTCTGCTGATGCAGTTTCTTACAGGATCTAGTTTAGATTCCCCTGCATGGTATATACATCCAGTGGTCTGGGCCAGAGTAATCCTGCTGCTAGCTCATTTCAGGAATGCTGAAGTGGGCAAGAGAATGCTTTGGTTATAGGTGCTAATGGTTTTATTCCCAAGTTCTGTTGCCTTGAATGGTTAGAAAGTCATGTTGTTTACCTGTGCTTTTCCTGAGGCCAACGTGGCTCTCATCCCCTCTTCCTTCCTTCCTTCCTTCCTTGCATCACTCCCCTTTCTGGCTCTAGGTGATGTTGATTGCTCTGGCGTTGTATGATAGTAGTGGTATGTGGGTTTCCTAGGTGTGTTAGCTTACGTGGGACTTTTAAACTAGAATGGAATGACTTCTAGGCATGTGACTGGGAAATGTGGTCAGCTCTGAATTTTCATGCCTTCTTTTTTTCCTACTAGGTTTATTTTCTAGTGGCCCAGACTGCTTTCATGAAGAACAGACAAAAGCAGAAAGTGTGGTGGCTGACTGTTTCCCAAATTATAAGGTATGACAAGAGTGCAAATAGCATAGTAGCATCTGTAGCATTTCATAAGCATGGCACAGCACAAAGCATGGGAGATTATTCAGAGTCCATGTGCAGTTTAACTTCTAAGAGGGCCCAGAGGGGCTGCTTCCTTGACTGAGACTCCTCAGCTTGAGAGAGTCTCAGGAGAAAAGACAGCCCTGATCTGAAGCTTTGATGGCTTTTTATTGGTAGAACCAAGAAGCAAAGATAAAGGATAAAAACGGACAGCTGTGTAGACATTCACATAGAGGACAGGGAAAGGTGAGGGTAATGCTAGGTGGTCTGCTACATGACTGATCTTACAGCTAATCTAAGTAATAAATCAGTATAGGGAGGACAAGGGCCAGGGCAGTTATTCCTTAAGGCAGTGTTTTGTTTCTTTGGGGTTTGTTTGTTTGTTTGTTTTGACCTGGACTCACTATGTAGCTCAGGCTGGTCTTGAACTCACAGCGATCCTCCTACCTCAGCCTCCCCAGTGCTAGGATTACAGGCATGCGCCACCACGCCTAGTTTTTTGTTTTTTGTTTAGTTTTTTGAGATAGGGTCTCACTGTGTAGTGAGACTGACCTGGAACTCACTGTGTAGCCCAGGCTGATCTTGAACTCACAGCGATCCTCCTGCCTCAGTCTCCCTAGTGCTGGGATTACAGGCGTGCGCCACCACGACCGGCGACCACCACTAAGGCAATGTGTTTTGACCCTACATGAACTTGTGGCCCTACAGGATGTCTTTTCCTCTTTAACCAAGCGTTCCAGGAAGTTTTGGGCTTGCAGCCCCAAAAGTTGCTTATCTCTGCATATCCATCTCATACAGACCTCTGGCCATTGTCCCCACAAACATCCATCAAAGAGCTTGAGTCCCCAGTTTTATTTCCCTAGGAGTGAATCTTCTTACAATTATACAAGATTACCCTGAAAATCATTCCAGCACTTCAGTAATCACTAATTAATCTTGCCCTTCATGGCACTGACTGCGTGTCCTTGATTTTGCTGAGTGGTCTGATGATAAGGAAAATGAAATGTCCTTTTCTCACAGAATTTATTTGTTTATCACCATTTATCAGATGTGTGCATTTTGCTCAAGTGTACTTTTATAGAGGGAGTTAAGACAAGAAAGAGTTCCCAGTCTAGTAGTGGTGAGGTAAATTCACGTTTGAGATGTTCCAGTTTATAACCATGAGTGGAGAAGATGGGTAGTGAGTGTGGGTAGTGGTGGTAAAACCTATGGCACACGTGCCGCAACAGACTGTTGTGTCATTGAAAGCTTTAAAAGATTCACTTTTACTGCTCTGTGGCCACTGTTCAATGAGAGAAACAATAGAAGCATTCCCAGCTTGCTTTATTTTTTACTGGTATTGGGCATTGAGCTATATCCACAAGCCTATTGTTCTTTCTTTTTTTTTTTTTTTTTTTTTTTTTTTTTTTTGAGACTGTATCTTGCTAAGTTGTTCAGGCTGGGCTTAAACTTGTGATCCTCCTGCCTCAGCTTCCCAGAGTGCTGAGATTACAGATATGTGCCATCACGTTTGGCTCTCCCTCGTAGGCGATGGGTCCCTGTTCTCATTCTCCATGAACATTGGAGGAGATGCTACTTGGTTTAAAATAGTATGTGTGTGATGATTTAGGGTTCGCTGACCTTTGAGGATGTGGCTGTGGACTTCACCCTGGAGGAGTGGGCTTTACTGAACCCAATTGAGAGAAACTTATACAGAGAGGTGATGTTGGAGAACTACCAGAACCTGGTCTCAGTAGGTAAGACTGCTGTCATTCCTGTAGCCTCTCCTAGAACAGGAAAATGTATTTACTGTGTTTTAAGATTAGTGCTATCAATTCTGAGCACAGTGGCCAGTGACGGAGACATACTCCCTGCCCTAATATGTTATAGTCTGTGGTAGTGGTTCTCAAGTATGGTTTTAGGGTCAGTAGTCTGTTCTTTACAAAGTACATTTTTAGTCTCTACCTTTGACATACTGAATTAGAAATTTTTAATTTTTTTTTGTTTTTTGGTACTGGGAATCAAACTCGGGTCCTTGTGCTTACAAAGCATGCGCCAGAACCACTGAGCTAAATCCCCGGCCCTAGAAACTCTTTAGTTAGCGCCTTGTCATCTGTGTTTAACCTTCCCATCACATAAATTTGATGATACACTATAATATTTAAGAATTATTGGTGTACCAGGTATGGCACATGCCTGAAATCCCAGTACTTGGAAGTCTGAGGCAGGAGGATTGCCACCAGTTCACAGCCAGCCTGTGCTACATAGTGAGTTAAAGGCCAGTCTGAACCTAGAGACCCTGTCTCAAAAAACCAAAATAAAACAAGAACTATTGGTGAGCCAGGTGTCAAATGTGATGGTATGCACTTGTAACCTGAGGTACTTGAGAGGCTGAATCAGGAACAACTCCAGTTTGAGACCTGCCTTGGCAACTTGGCAAGACCCTATCTCAAAAAATAAAAGGGCTGGGTGTTTGGCTCAGTGATCCTTGGGTTCAACCCCGTAGCCACAAAAAGAAAAGGAGGAAAACCAAAAAACACGGGTGTAGTTGTTCCCCCCATGATCATAGAGATCTCAGCCAGAAATGGTGGCACATGTCTGTAATCCCAGCACTCTGGGGGCCTGAGGCAGGAGGATCACAAGTTTAAGTCCTACTTGTATTCTATGATAGTACTACATACATTAATATATTTAATTTTTAGAATGTTATTCTAAAATTTGACCCCTTACACCATGATTATCAAGTATCATTTTATTTATTATTATAATTATTACTTTTTTTTTTTCCTGTGCTGGGGATTTCTCTGGGCAGCTTAGTGACTTAACCAGACCCTGTCTGAAGATTTTAAAAAAGCAGGGACTGGAGATGTAGCTCAGTGCAAAGGCCTTCAGTTCAATCTATAGTACTAATGAAACTTCTGTTTCACTTTATTTTCTGTTTGATTAATATTTAGTGCTTTGCAAGTGTCTATGTTTTTGCGTGTCAGAGGTCAGTGCCTTTCCGATACATAGTGAGGAGATGTTTGCATATTGAGGTTGTTAGCAATCATTTTCATTGTGATTTGAACTGTAGTTCCTAAATCCTGGGAAGGTTTATTACGTGTTGTGTAAGCCACTTCCATGCATCTTTCCTCTTGTGTAGGGTGTCAGCTCATCAAACCCAGCCTGATCTCTTGTTTGGAAGCAGAAGAAGAGTTACGGACAGTGGAGAGAGGTGTTCTCCAAGGTATGTATTGTCTAAAACATCTCTGGATGCTGAGAAATTTAGGATGGTTGGGGTATAATGAGGAACCTTTCTTTATTGTGAAATACTCTGAATCAGAAGGATAGGCCATTAGGCTCAGAAGTTTTGGGATATCGCCACATCCCAGTACTCCATTACTTTCTGTCTGTCTAGCCTTTCTTACATTTGCAACAACTATCTGTTCTTTTCTTTTTTGACTCCATGGTTTTCATGTATGCTATTTTTCCAGATCTTTCCTGCTTTTTATGTATGATAGTAGTTTCTGTTTGCTATAAAATTTAGTTTTTAGAATAAGATACTAACTTCTAAATTTTGACCCCTTATCCTTAGGACTGTAAAATTTCATTTATTGTTATAAGTATTTCTTTTTCTGTCCTGGGGACTGAACCCAGGACCTTGCACATGTTAACACAGAGTGACAGCCCCAACTCTGCAAATTTTAGATAAGTTTAGATAACTTTAGATAAACTCTTAAAACTGCTGAAATATATCATGGCTTTATCTTTTAGCATATTTAATATGGAAAAAATATAAATGAGCTGTATTATTAACTTTTTTGGGTACCGGGGATTGAACTCAGGTCCTTGCACTTGTGAAGCAGTAGAACCATTGAATTAAATCCCTGGCCCTATTTTTAACTTTTATAGCCTAACGCTTCATTGTGGAAACATACTTTGTTTTTGTATTTTACTTCAGAACGGGCACTGCGACTTAACATCAAACAGATAGCACTTCAACAGGATATTCTTTGGTTAAAAACATCAAACGAGATACAACCGGTAAGACTCAAAAGAGATACTTCTAATTTTGTAAATTCAGAGAGGATTGGGGGTTTCATGATAGATATCAGAGACATTTGAGAGAAGTACCCTTCATCCTCAGGGCGCTGTGTCTGTGAGAAGATACCCCAAATCTGAGCTCCTTCAGGGGCACAGTACTCCTACATAGTATCTAGACATTGGCTTTTTAAAATAATGTCATGAAAATCTGCTGGAATCCCTTTGAAATTAGAGAAGATAGCATAGAATCTTACTGTTGGCTTCCTTCATTCTTATTGAATAAAATTCAGAGGGTAGGAACATTATGCATGTAATGAAAATAGCAGAAATCATAATCATCATCATGATTATGTAATCTACTAAGTTTGAAAAATAATTTCTCTGGGGAAATTTTTGTTTTTATTTTTAAGTTTTTAAAATTATTTTTTGGTCAGGCAAGGAACCAGCGCAGAGAGAAGTTGTATGGCCTTCAGCCATGTGGAGAAATCGTCAGAGAGCATTCATGCCTTTTGACACATGTGGGTACACAAAACGGAGGGAGCACTTGGGATTGTGGTCAGTATAGAAAAGGCTTTCCTGCTCATCACAAGGAAACATCTTCTGCAGACCAACTTCCTGTTTTCCGCCAGTATGGAAAAGACTTCAGTGTGACTCAGGATGTGGCTTACCAGGCAGTGTATACACAAGCACAATCTTTTGAATGCAGCGACTTTAGTCAAGCCTTTGTCAGTCAGCCACAGCTTCAGATACATGGGCGAACTCGGAGTGAAGACAGACTCTTTGAATGGACTCAGTGTGGTGAGGCTTTTAATCCCTCTGTGAGTCATGCTGCACGTGTTCAGATGTTCACGGGGAGAAAACCCTACGAATGCAAGGAGTGTGGGAAAAGTTTTAAATATTCCGCCAATCTTAATATTCATATGCGAACCCATACGGGGGAGAAACCTTACCAGTGTAAGGAGTGTGGAAAAGCCTTTTCTAGGTGTTATCCACTAACTCAGCATTTAAAAACTCACACTGAAGAGAAGCCTTTTGAATGTAAGGTTTGTGGAAAATGTTTTAGAAATTCCTCATGCCTTAATGATCACTTTCGAGTTCACACTGGATTGAAACCCTACAAATGTAAGGACTGTGGCAAAGCGTTCACAGGGCGCTCTGGCCTTAGTAAACATTTACCAACTCACACTGGAGAGAAGCCGTACGAATGCAAGGAGTGCGAGAAGGCCTTCACTTCCTCCTCTGGCCTCATTAAACACATGAAAAGTCACACGGGAGAGAGGCCCTTCGAATGTGACCACTGTGGGAAGGCTTTTGCTTCTTCTTCATCCCTTATTACACATTCAAGAACCCACACTGGAGAGAAGCCCTTTGAGTGTAAGGTATGTGGGAAAGCGTTTACATGTTCCTCCTACCTTCGCATCCACATGCGAACTCACACTGGCGAGAAACCCTATGAGTGTAAGGAGTGCGGCAGAGCCTTCACTGAGCGCACAAGCCTCACTAAACACCTCCGCACACACACTGGAGAGAACCCCTTTGAATGTAACGTATGTGGGAAAGCGTTCGCCTGTTCCTCCTACCTGCACAATCACATACGGACGCACACTGGCGAGAAACCTTACATATGCAAGGAGTGTGGGAAAGCCTTCACTGTTTCCTCACACTTAAGTAAACACATAAGAATTCACACGGGTGAGAAACCTCATAAATGTGAGGAGTGTGGCAAGGCCTTCACCGTGCGCTCAGGCCTCACTAAGCACGTGCGCACTCACACTGGGGAGAAGCCCTATGACTGTAAGGAGTGTGGGAAAGCCTTTACCACATCTTCAGGCCTCCTTGAACATATAAGAAGTCACACGGGAGAGAAACCCTATGAATGTGACCAGTGTGGGAAAGCCTTTGCTTCCTCCTCATACCTTATTGCACATTTAAGAATTCACACTGGAGAGAAGCCCTTTGAGTGTAACATGTGTGGCAAAGCGTTTACATGTTCCTCCTACCTTCATATTCATATGCGAACTCACACGGGGGAGAAACCCTATGAGTGTAAGGAATGTGGCAAAGCCTTTACTGTTTATTCACACCTCAGTAAACATGTAAAAACTCACAGGACAGAGAAACCCTATAAATATAAGGGCTGCGGGGTAGCCTTCAGTACTTCTTCTCATCTTCCTGAACATGGAAAAACACTGCAGAAAAGCCCTTTGGATGTAAGGAATGAGGAAACGGCTTTAGGAAATCCTCTTGCCTTAGTATTACATTCAGATTCACAGTGGCAAGAAACTGTATCGATGTAAGCCATGAATAGTGTTCATTTGTCCCCGTTACTTCAGACCTGAAAGAATTCCCAATGTAAAGAATGTAAGTCATCAGAATCAGCTTACAGTCCAGCTTCTAAGGACGCCTTGAAGCTGTACAATGTCAGAAACGTGGAAAGCCTTCCCTGTCTTGAGATCTCACTTAGATAGGTGAGGTTTTCCAATGGAGAGAAGCTATTGATGCAACATGCGGAAAAGTTGTAGTCTGCTAAGCATTTTGATGGTTGCCGGAGTTATCACAACGGACAAAGACATCATGAAAGTTTGAAATGTTCAAAGATCATTGTTTACGTTATTCCTCAACCTTTAATAAAGGGGTTCTTACTTGAGAAACTATCCATGTATGTAATATGAGGATTGCTTCTTTGTTCGGAAATCTTGTGTGCTGGCAGACATGGCTTTCTTGGTTATAGATTTATTTTGAACATTTGCAGTATCAGTATTTGAAATGTTTTGAATATTTGTGAATTTTTGACTTTTCCATTTTAAATATTTAATTTCTACTGTAGTCCTACTTTTTCTTCCACCTTTACTAAGATATGACTGACAACTAAAACATACATAAATGAAATGATTTTCACTGTCAGGCTAATTAAAATAACTCTTACATGATATAATGACCTTTTTTTTTTTGGTATTGTAAAACACTTCCTACTCTCAGCTAAGTCAGATAATGATTTTCACTGTCAGGCTAATTAAAATAACTCTTACATGATATAATGACCTTTTTTTTTTTTGGTATTGTAAAACACTTCCTACTCTCAGCTAAGTCAGGTGTCGGTACTTTATTACTAACTATATTCACAGTCTGTATATAAAGTCTCAAGAACTTAATTTATCTTTTAACTAAAAGTTCATGCTCTTTGACAAGTATCTCTTTAGCTGCCTCAACCCCTATCCTCTAGTAACTACAATTGTATTTTTTTCCTTCTGAGTTTGACTTGTAGGTTCCATATTTAAATATGATCATGCAGTGCTTTGTTTTTATGTTTGGCTTAATTCACATAGTATAACGTCCTCCTGATTCATACTTTTTGTGCTAGAGGTATAGACTTTCCTTTTTTTAAAAAATGTAAATATTCCATTACATATACTTTTATTTTCTTTACCCATTCATATATAAAGGAACTTAGGTTATTTCCATACTTTGGCTATTAGTACTGCTTTATTGAACATAAGAGTGCATATATTTCTTTAGGGAGTCATTTTATTTCTGTGGATGAATGCTTACATTTGTGGGATCATTTGCTTGTTCTATTTTAAATTTTATGAGGACCCTCCATACGGTTTTTCAGAAGTCTCCACTAATTTTGATTCCACGCAGCTGTATACAAATGTTATGGTTTCCTTCACACCCTTACACTTACCTCGTTTTTTAAAATAAGCACCATCTTAACATGTATGAGGTAATATACCATTTATGGTTTTAATACTTCTTTTTTTTTGGTACCGGGGATTGAACTCTGGCCCTTGCACTTTCAAGGCAGGCGCCGGAACTACTGAGCTAAATCCCCGGCCCCCATTTATGGTTTTGATCTTCATTTCCCTGATGACCAGTGATTCTAAGAATCTCCATCTACTTGTTGATCACTTACATATCTTTTTAAGAAAATTACAAAGGTCCTTTGCCAATTTTTAATTGGTTTTTTGCTGTTATATGATTATTTATATACAGGATGTTAATCCATAATTGGATATATGGATTACAAATATTTTCTTTCATTCTGTGGGCAGCTTTTCAATTTGTTGTTTCCTTTGCTGTGAAGAAAGTTTTTAGTTTGGTATAGTTTTACTTTTTTTGTTGTTGTTTTTACTTTTAAAAATTTATTGTTTATTTTTTGGCTTTTGTCGACTCTGTTGTTGGTGTTCCTAAGATCAGTGTCGTGATGCTTTCCTCCTGTTTTATCCTGGGAGTTTTATGGTTTCACAGCCTCAGGTTTAGTCTAATCCATTGTGAATGGATTTCTGTGTATGTTGTGCAGTGATGGCCCAGTCGCACCCTTTTGCATATTGATATCTAGTTTTCAATCATTGCCATATATGAACAGAGTGGTATTCTTGGGAAGCTTGTCAAAATTAGTTGTCTGTGCATTTGTTGATTTCTGTTCCTTTCCATTGGTCTCTGCCTCTAGTTTTATGCCGATACCCATACTGTTTTGATTACTGTAGTTTTGCAATATAATTTGAAATTGGGATGTATGATAACTTCTACTTTTATTCTTACTCAAGATTTTTTGGGCTTTTGGGAGTCTCATGTTTCTATATGAATTTCGGGATTTTTAAAATAATTGTGTTACAAATGCCATTGGAATCTTGAAAAAGATGGCATTAAATTTGACATTTTGGGTACTTTGGACATTTTCAAATATCATTTCAGTCCATGAACATGGGATAACTTTCCATTTATTTATGACTTATTACTTTTCATCTTCTTTTTTTTTTTTTTTTTTTTTTTTTTTTTTTTTTTTTTTTTTTTTTTTTTTGTAACAGGGATCAAACTCAGGACCTTGTGTTTGCAAGGTCGGCACAGTGCCACTGAGCTAAATCCTCAGCCCTCTTCATCAATGTTTTATTTGTTTCAGTTTGTCAGTCATTCTTCTCCCTGATTAAATTTATTCCTAAGGATTTTATTGTTTTGTTGCTGTTGTCCACTTTTTTTTTCTTTTTTCTCAGTACTGGGGATGGAACTCAGGACCTTGCTCTTGCCAGGCAGGTGCGGCACCACTGAGCTACATCCCTGGCCCTTGTTGCTGTTGTCAATGAGATTATTTTCTTAATTTCTTTTTCAGTGAACAACTGTTCATCATTAGTGTATAGTAACACTATTTTTATTAGTGTATATTTCTAATACATAATAACCCATTTGTACCGAAGATTGCAGTCTTGAATTTTTGCATGACATTCATATGTTATTTAGAAAAATTCAAAGAATAAGAATTTGAAGAGAAAAAATTATATCATGTTCCATTGTTTCATGGATGCTCCAAAAGTGGAACACTAGGCATTGAATCATTAACATTCATTTGGGGGAATTGGTACATATGCATATACTATTGATTTTTGTATGCTGACTTTGTATCCTGCTGCCTTCCTGAATTAATTTATTATGATCGTTCTTTCATGGGCCGTTAGGATTTTCCGTATTCAAGGTCATGTCATCTGCAAACAATTTTACTTTTTTTCTATTTGGATGCCTTGTCTCTTTCTTGCTCAGTTACTGTGACTAGAACTTGCAGTATTATGATTAGTAGAAGTTACAAATGTGGGCATCCTTGTTCCTGTTCTTTAAGGAAAAGCTTTGAGCTTTTTGCACCAAGTATGAGGATAGCCATTGGCTAGTCATATATTGTCACTGTTATGTTAAGCCATGATCATTCTATACCTAATCTAATGAAAGTTATGAAAATATGTTGAATTTTGTTAAAGTTTTGTTTCTGCATTTTTTGGCAGTGGTTTTCCTTTAATTGTGTTGTGACATTTATTGATTTTTGCATGTGTTGAATCACCTTGCATTACAGCTATAAATTTCAGTTGATTGTGATACATGATCCTTTTAATAATTGTTTCAATCTGATGGGCTAAATTTGCCCATCAAAAGATATAGTGGCTGATGGCATCAAAACAAGACATGTCTTTGTGTTGCCTGTAAGGGACTCGGTTCACCTTTAAGGACCCAATGATGAGAAGTGTAGGGATGCCTTGTAAATAGAAACCAAAGGAAAATGGATGTGGTTGTACTTGAATCAGAAAAAACAGACTTTAAGTCAAAAACTGTAATGAGAGAAAACGAGGTAGGGGTGAGGAAGTGGTCACCTAACCAAGAGAATAGAACACCTAGCTGGGTGCAATGGGACGTGCCTATAATTCCAGCTACTTGGAGGCTGAGGTGGGAGTACTGCAAGGTAAAACCCAACCTTGGCAACAATGTGAAACCCTAAAAAAAAAGGTGTGTGTGTGTGTGTGCACGCATGGAGACCACCAAAATAATGTGCACACACTTCAGCAGCTCATCCTACCAATAAATGTCTGGAAGCTAATGGCCACCACTTTGAGCACCTCTTGTAATTGTAGAGGCCAAAGATAACTGATAACTTGTGTTAATCTTATGATGTCTCAATAAATTTAGTGTTAAAATTTTATGGTTTTTTTTCCTGATGTATACTTTTTTCTGGGT